ACCCGCTAGTCCAGAGGGGTCAACTGGGGCACCCCGAGCGTCCCTCCGGGAACGATGGGGCCGGGACAGGGGTCGGGCAGAAGCCGGACGCACCCGGGCACGGAACATGGCACCGAGAACATGCTGTGGCAAAAGCTCTCGTTCCAAGGGACAGCACCTGAGAAAGCAGGGCAGCGTGCGGGGTYCCAGGGGGAAATTGCCTCTTTCATCTCATTAGTCCTTCCCCAGGGCCCCCAGTCCCTGCACAATGCCCTCAGAAAAGACAAGGGTTATTAAGAGAGAAGGAGTTTAAACTGAGAGTAAAAACTTCCTTTACCATGATTGTCTGTGTCCAAATGGAGGTGGAACAGCTTTCCCCTGTGATTGTAATGATGGCAGTGGAAGGCAAGCCTGCCTTTCCCATGCATTAGGGGTATTAAGCAGATTTGGGGGTGAGAGCGGCTGTGGGCACTGGTGTCTGGGTAATCTTTATCAGTTTCTATGGGTCAGAAACACCTCTGCCTTTCAGAAGGCACTGCAGCTTATATTTGTGTATGAATCCCTGGAATTTGATGATTTCTGTAATAAACCTTGGCCACCAACATGGAGGTCTCCCAGTCCCGTGCWAGASCAAGCCTSSCACCTGCAGCTAGGTGCTGGCTGCCGAGGCTCTTAGCAGCCTCACCTCTGGATGAGGAGCAGTGCAGCCAAATGAGATGCAGTTACAACCATTGCCCTGGTCTAATCTGTGCACACAAAGTACTGCTCTTGGAATTCCCGTGTTGGGTTTGCTTATGTTTTGGTAGGGATCGAGATGTATTGCCTTTGTTTGTGACTGTGCCATACGTACCTGGCTGTGCTGCGCAGGATGGGCTGGGGCAGAAAGGATGCTGCAGGAGCTCAAACTCCTTCTGGTGCCTCTGCCAGGAGTTTGGAGTGTCAGAAGCAAGGTCAAGCACTGCATTAGGATGTTGCAGTTTGGGTTTTTTTCTCTGTTTATCACTTTTCTGTGGTACAGTTTGGGCACCTGAGAGTCTTTGAAAACGCTGAGTGAGAACTCGAATTGGATGTCAGAGGCCAGGTAAGCAGGTTTGGTATGACTTGATCAGCTTTGTGGTTTTCCAGTGTTTCCAGAGTTCCAGGAAAAGATATCTGAGCCTTGTCAAAAGTCTCCTCCAAGCTGAGAATCCTGTGGTCCTTAGATCAGAAGTGGTACATGAATGGCAAGAGTTTACATTATTTGAAGCTTTTGCTGTGGATAGACCTCAGCTCTCTTTCTCTCTGGGGTTATCCCAGGTTTAAAGGCTTCCTCTCTGTCTTTATGCTGCTGGTATGTACATTTGCCATTGAGGGGCTGCTTATGTGTTGAAAAGTCAATCCTTTGATTGGCAACATCAATACATGTACATGCAGTGTTTACCTTGAACGGGTAATTTTTGCTGTGCTCAGTTTTAAACATTGTCTCAGCTTTATTGGGATGTGCAAATTGAGGTTACAATGTTATCCAACTCTGACAAAACTGAAGTATCACAGTTAACACTATAGGGTTAAATTTATATTTTCCTGTACACAGCGCAGGTTTCAAGGAGCTGAACCTGTTGGCACCTATCCAACAGAAGCTTTGGGAATGGCTCTTAGCCCAGCCAGCTCTGTGTCCTTGGGATGCCACAGCAACTAATTTCAGGCAGCACCCTGTGTCCTGTTAGTTGCTGGACTAAACCATTTTTCTTATTCCATAGGAGACTGGGAAAGTAGTATGTATTGCATTTTTGGGCTATCCCCTCAGAGCACTTTAATTTTACTCATCATGGATGCAAAAGGCCCTGACAAATBCAGTAGATCTCAAAATATTTATAGTGATCAGTAACTGGACAAATGTAAGGCCATCATAATTAACTGAAGTCAAAATATGGAATGATTTATAAAGGTTTCTACGAACAATTAAGTGTGTAAGGCCATGCTGGACCCCACTCCTTGAGTGTCATCTGTGGAAGCTGTTCAGGAGTTGGATATGATTCACTTGAGATTTTCTACTGTAACACCATACAGAATAGTGCTGGTTTTATCTGTTTGCTTGTACAGCTTTAATCAGAAAATTTGAAGGTGATTATTTTGCCATGAACATACATGTGAGAGCATTTTAAACCACTACAAAATGACTAAAAGTAACACCATCTCACGGAAGGGATTTGCCCATAAGTGTTGTCCTCTCTGCACAGTGGCCGAGTTTCTGATGCCCTCTGTTCTGTGGAGAAAGGGAACAGTGTGGTATGCAGTAGCTCATTCCTTTGAGGTCGGTGAGGGCTGACTGTGGCTGCTTAGGTGCGTGCCTTGGTCTTAGCTTCCCACTGAACTCACAAAGTTACAT